AAAAAAAACAGTAGGAAAAACAAATCAAAAAAAAACAACCGAAAGGAAGCGAGCGCGGGTGGGGAAATAAAGAAAATTAAAGTCACGGTTTCTAGCGTGTAAAGTTGTTGTTGTTGTTGTTGTTTTTGCTGCTGTTGTTGTTGTGGTTGTTGCGACACTTGCACAGCAGCAAATCAACAACAACAACAATAACAACACTTAAACGTAGAATGTAAATGTCTTTCTGGTCAGGTTTGTGTTAGCCACAAAATCCAAATTGCCATCACAGCAACAAACTAACAACAACAATAAAAGCAACGACAACAAGTGCAAGCGGCAGGCGGCAGGCGGCATGCAGCAGGTTGCAAGTTGCAAGCTGCCTCATCAATTGATTAAATTTGCGGCGCATTGAGATACTTTGGCCAAGACGCTGATCTCGCCGCTGCCTTTCACTTAAGACTTAAAAAAAAGGCAACAGCGCACGATTTTTATTTATTTAGATTTAGATTTCGATTCGAATGCCCGCACCGCACCGCACCGCACCTCGCCTCTACGCTGGCAGCTCTTCAGCTCTCCATCAGCAGCAATCAGCCGGCAATTTGTTGTTGCTGTTGCACTCGATGTTGTTGTTGTTGTTGCTGTTGTCCGAACGCACAGAACGCAAAACGCAATTGAAATGTTTAGGCCGCGTCACCAAATCTACAAAACAATAAGCATGTTTTTGTCTTGGCCATTTTTGGCCATAGCAACGCGCTGATAAGATCTGCAACTGTTGCTGCCGCTGTTGCTGGCTGGAGCCCACCAACAACGACAACGTCCGCATCCGCGTCGCCATCAACGCCATTGTGCGGCTGGCAAACGGCAGTCAGGTGTTGCTTTTATTGTTTTACAATCACCAACTGAAAAAGCCAAAAGCAATGGCCACGGCTAAGGCTGGGACTCTGACTCAACGACTTCTTGGGGCTCATCGATAGCGTCTCTTGCTGTAACTTTCACAAAACAAATCTCAGCCAGGCTGCCTAGCTGGCTGGCAGGCTGGCAGGCAACAGGCTCATGCACAGGCCATAAAAGCGCACCACAATTCAAATAAAATGAAAATAGAATCAAATAAACTTGCAGCCAAACAAAGGCCATGGTTGAAATAAAACTCCGCGCCACTGCCAGCTCGGGTCATAAAGAAATCCACAGCAACGACAAGTCGCGAACTGCGATCGGGCCAAATGCAAATTTTTGTGTCTTTCTCAAATTGTTGTTAGCTGCCAACCCCGAGCCCCAACATGACCCAATAAAATGGACAGCACTGTAGTTGGCCTGCAAACATTGCCAGTAGCTAAGGCATTTGTCTAACTCCTAATGTTGCAATAGCCTTGACGTTAAGATATAATCCCATACATATTATATAAAAAAAATCCTTACAACAGATTTAGATCTGATCCTAAACATTGTATTGATAAATCCTCGCGAAGGATTGTCCAAATCAGTCACTCAGACAGCAATGTCTCGGTCAAAGTTCATGATAGACAAGTGCTTGTTAATTAGTTGTATATTTCATAAGTACAATGAGAAAAAGAAATATAATAGGAATCTGGCAATTGACGTTCACAACAGCATGTAGAGTTCAAGCTGCTACATAAAGCATAGTTCATTCTGCTATGTGATCAAGAGGTCCAATTTGCAAGCTGCTTCCAATTATGAGAAGGCTTTATAGATGAACTGGTTGATCGAATAAATTGACAAATTGAATGTAATTAATTTTATATATTGGACATCTTGGCAATTAAACCTATTGGAATATTACAACTGCTATGCTAAAATGTTGAAAAATTTAGAAGCTGCAATTATGATAACGCCTTAAAGATAAGCTGGTTAACCGGATAGACTGATTGACATATATAAAGTAATTAATATAATTGATTTAGGTGGGACATACCGAATTCCATTTGGATATTACCGCGGCTATTTGTAAGGTACATGCTGCCATGCAATCATGAGGATATATTATAAAGCTGCTTGCAATTATGAAAACGCCTTTTGGATGACCTGGTTGATCAGATTAATTGATCAAATTCAGTATAGTTAATTGATATAGATGGGACATACCAAGTTCATGCCGCCATGCCATCAGAAGGATTCATTTACAAACTGCTTGCAATTATGATGACACTCTCTATATATGGGACATCCGGGTAGTAAAATTCATTTCAATCGCATTGTATGCGCACTGTAGAGCTACAGAAATGTTGAAAAAAAAAGAATACGCTTGATTTTTCAACACTACATATTCCCGTCAGCTTGTACCCAGTTTCCACCAACTATGCTGCCCAGAGTTAAGCATCATCACAACCAATTTGTGGCAGTTCTTTCACAACTGTCCACTTGTACAACTTTTCCCACATGAACTTGGCTAATTAACTGGGCACATTTTGCCAGTCTTGAAATTGTTGCCTACTTGCCCCATTTCGCAGCCAGCACAGAACCCATCGTGCAACGTGCCAACTTGCCGGCAACCAGCAACAAATGGCCATCAAATAAATCAGGCGGCTTTACACGGCACATGCAAAACACGTCGCCAACCCGTTCCATGCCCCCTCGTTCCGTCCCCAGCGACCATCGTCCAATGTGGCCATTTCGGTTATCAGAGTGCGCGTTTTAATGAGTTCGAGTACGTTTTATGAGCGTGGCAAAAGGCAAACTCTTGAGAAATCCGAAAACGCACCAAAGTGGAATGCACACAAAAATGTTAGAATCTTGCCGCAATGATAAACTTTCGCAAAGGAAAGCAACAGAGATGGAGCTGGCGATGGCGACGAGCCAAGCAGCAAACACTTGAAGCAAAAAGCCAACTCGAAAAGAGCTCATCATAATCAACTGCGATGGCGACGGCCTTATGATGATTGTGATTGGTGTCGTTGTCGTTGTCGCTGTTGTCCATTGTTGTTGTTGTTGTCGTTGTTGTCGCCTCACCTGAGGCTGCTGTAGCTTGGCTGTCTGAGAGTCTGAGTCTGGCACGTACGCAGATACATCTGCAAAGATACAAAGACGCACTTGCTCCGCTCCGTTGGCACGTGAAGTGGCAAGCAGAACGCGACGGAATTTATGAATGAATTCAATGAATTTCTACAAGCATTCAGAGTTCAAAGGGGGGCAACATACACTCGCACCCATAAGTTAGGCTACAACTTTCAGTCTGTGCAGCTGCGCGTTTTTTGCTGCATACTTTCGGGCTGCCTTGGAAACATATTTGTAATCAAGTCTCAGCAATCGTTGAGGCGAAACTTCTCTCCACTAGCAAATTAATTTTCAACTACAAAAAGAAAATCAACCTGACACAAAACCCGTTTAAATGTCGCAGCCATCACAAGCACTTCAAATACGCACGAGCGATGGCATCGTCTTTGATGTGTGTCTCGAGGTCGCCCAGCAAATGGGATTGACCCACAGCTGGCTGCAGTCGGAGCGCGGAGATCTGAAATGCAGCGATGGCCCCGATGACGATGCCAATGTGATGCCACTGAACAGAGTTAGGTCCGATATATTTAAGCTCGTCCTCAACTGGTGCCAGGCCGTGCAAACAGTGGACGCTCCATTGGAGCACAAGGAAATGCTGCTGCAGCAGCGTTCCCTATTCCAGCGCATTCTCACCGAATCGAATGCCACCGACTCGACCATATTTGAGCTGATCATTGCGGCCGACTATCTGAACATCGATGGGCTCCTGCAGGCGGGCACTCAGCATGTCGCCGATGTCATCAATGGTTGTGACAGCGTCGAGGCGATTCGAGAGCGTTTTCATATCATGTACGAGGGCGAAATAGACGAATAAGCACCCAATGGGTAGCCAGAGTATGCACACATTCAAATTGTTTAACAGCGTATTAAATTCAGAAGTACATCAATTTATATGCCCATTTGAAGGTAATTGAAATTTTATTAAATCGATTCATGCAGCCAATTTCAAGTTCTGCTTAATTTGTGGGCTTTGAATAAGTTTTCTAACAGTCAGAAAAAAGCAAAGAAAGTTTTCTTCCGAGTCAGTTGAAGTGTTACGATTATATAACATCCAAATGTGCCTGCCAAATTGATAATATATATGAACCCGTAAATTAAATAAATTGTTAACGATAAACCAAACCACAAAGCAAACAAGCTACCAAAACGAAAGACTATCAAACGAACTGAAACCCGAATCGAATCATACTTTTCTTCAAAAATGGTTTGGCTTACAGTTCAAAACTTTTAAAGGGAGGCCCAGCCCCGACTGTGGCATTTATCTTAGCTTATTTGATAGAACCCAATTCTAGCGTGCCTTTGTGTATATTTAGGGTTTAGAATTCCCAACTTTTGAAGGAAGGCCCAGCCCCATCAATCTTTTTTTAGCTTATTTGATAGAACCCAATTCTAGCGCGCCTTTTGTACAGGAAAATATATAAAATTTTCAATATTTTCAGTAGTACAGGCGCGCGAATATAATTTAAATAATAAATTTTGAAAATAAATTTATAACAAACCAAGTTTGGAACCAGAGTCTGTATTCATGAATGTGGAATCTAATTTGCCTTGTCAATTAAAGCAGCGACAATTTTGATGATAGATGAAACTGATGAGCTCCTCTAAGCATCTATAAGAATATAAATAACGAAAAAGATCAATTAATCGAATTGAATATGAAAATTAATTAATATTTCTTAATAAAATTTTTTTAAGTTGTTATTGGAATTTGAATATGTGCAATATACTCACTTGCTTTCTTTAATATTTTCTACAGATTAGAACACATTAGCTTGACATTAAATAAACTTTCCGAGCTTCATTATTCTCATCAAAAAGCTATTCCATTAATTTATATATTTTGTGTTTTGTAAGTAATTAAATCTTTATTAAATCTCAATTTGTCGGTGATTATTATTTAATATTCTTTTGTGTTTTTGTTTTTGTTGTTCGTACAGTTTCATTCTGTGTCTGCATACTTCGACTGTCTACGCTTAATTTGCTAATTTACTTAACGTGTCATTTTGCAAACCTTCACAACGGATTCTGCCTAACTTTGGGCTTTTACAAATGTTTTCTTTTTTTTTGTTTTCTCAGCCTAGAAGATCTGACCAAGTGCTATTAGCTACTGGCTCTGGCTGCTGCTTTTTTTTGTTCGTGTTTTTTTTTCTTTTACTTTTCTTGTGGTGTTCTTATTTATTGCTACAGTTTTTCATTTCATTTTCTTTTAATTATTTTTTTGCGTTTTTTTGTTTTTTTTTGCAACGGCAACTGCAAAGTTTGTTGTTAGAGTTGAAAACAGAATTCGAAAGGACAGTGTGAAATGCTGTACACAAAGATGCATTAAAACTAAAACTCGTCGCTAGTTATGGATAGGTAGGCTCTCAATCAACGCGGGGGCTCCTGTTGTTGTTGTGGTTGTTGTTGTTGTTAGTGTAGTTTTTGTTGTTTTTATTGTACACTAAAAATCGATTCATAGAAAAAGTGTAAATTATGCTATCCCATATTGATAGTTGTATGTATATAGCGTCAACTGCTTCAGCTGCTTCTTCATCTCATATAAATAGTTGTATACATATATACTATTTAGTTTGTATAGATATTTAATGTATATGTATAATTATATATATATATATATATTGTATGTATACATATATATTTGCAATTTATATTGCTTAACTCTGACAATGCAACGCCTTGAAGCTGAGAGACAGAGAGTGTGAGAGACACGACTTAGATTCGGTTTGAGAAACTGGCAGCTGACCTATTTGTGCTTCTAGATCTTAACTCCTCACCATATATATATATGACGGAAGCCTCGCGAAATCAAGCAAAAGCTTTTTATTCGAGCCAACTCGTTGACTGCCCTGAAACAAATTTTTACTTTACTTTAGTCTATTTATTTTTTATTTTTGTCTTTTACTTTAAATTGTGTGTGTGTTGTTTGCTTTAGAAATATGAAACTTGCAAAGGAAGCGCCAATTTATCTTTAAACTAAGTTCGCTTTTTCTTTCTTTATTATTTATAGAGCTTAATTTCTTACTAAATGTTCTTTGAAACTGTTTTTATTTTTGTTTACCTTTTTAATTTAATTATTCACGAGCACGCGCGAGCATTTGAATTTGCATTACAATTGTTGTTTGTTTTTTGTTTTTTTGCAAATTTTTTACAATTAGGAATTTATATTTTCATTATTTTTTTTTTTTGGATTATCCATAACTATGTGAATGCTGGAGTAAAAGTTTCAGTTTCTCATTTTAATCATTCGTAACTATTCGCAACTCGCTTTACAAAATAGATATTTATTCAACATTTAGTTGATGTGATTTTTGTTTTTATTTTTTGGGTTGTTTTAATTTATTCTCTTTGGTTCCATCTGCTTCTAAAATCTTACGTGACTTACGTGTTAAATTGTTACGTCGTTTTCACTTAAAAAACTTCATACTGGGTCCAACTTGCTTCAGTTTGTAATTCCTGATATTTTGTTGCCATATTATTTATTACAAATTTATCGATCTGTTTTCTTTTGTATTTGGGTTTTTCTTTTTACGAAATTTATCCTTCTACTTATCCTTTGAGCACTTTTTCTCATTCCATTATTTATGGCTTTACCTATCTTTAGCGATAAACTTTAAAGTTTTATGCAATTCGGCGATATGTATGTACATGTAATATACAAATCAAATGTTAAATATAAATTATCATAAAGTTAAGAACTGAAATAAATAATAAAATCTGGCAACAGTTTTTGCTGAAATGTCTTTAAAAAAAATTGTAATTTATTTTTTTATTACTTTTATGTTCTTCTTTTTAGCTCTATTTTTTAATGTGTTGTTTACGTTTAGGCTTTTTACAATAATAATAAATTTAAAAATATAATATATATATATGTTTGTTTTAGAACTGTTCGCTTTTTGTATAATTTATAATATTATTTGCGGTGTTTTTTTGTTTTGTTTTTTGTTTTCTTGATTTAATTTGTAGTTGGCTTAATTCAAAATCTAAAAATGTATGGAAATCAGCAGTAAAAGTAAATGTATGCTTAAAGTTTAAGAATTTCTCTTTCTCTCTCAATGAAATTGTTATTTGCTTGACTTGTTTTGTGGTTTTTAAGTTAATGTGTTAATATAAATGTAATTTAGTTTAAACATTTATCAAATGTGTAATTTAGTTTACCTTTCACTGTTATATAATATAATACATAATTGCCATGACTGAAGAATTAACAAATCGACTTAACAAATCTACACAAGACGAATTGATATTTTAATTTGTATCTCTCAAATCTATTTTGTGGGGATTGCCAAAAAATTTATTTACATACACAATCAACAAAAAGTAATTGTAGAAAAAAACACAAAAAATACTACGTACAGAATAGAACTTAAAATTAGAAAAACGAGCGGAATTCGCAATCAACAGAAAACCCTAAAAAAATAAAACATTTCAATTTGAATTGCATCTGCTTCTTCTTACTAATTTTTGCCATTTGAAAATTGTTATTTGCATTTCTTCTTCTTCTTATTGTGTCTTATCGCATTTTTTTTATTTTTAAACTTTGTTCTTTTTTTTTGTATTTTTTTTGTGATTTTTTGTTGGTTTTTTTTTTTGTTGTTTCTTAATGTTTTGCTTTTGAATATTTGTTGACAATTTTATGCTGCACAAAATACAATTGTTTGGGTTGTTGTTGCTGTAATTTGTTGGAAAGTTGCTGCCATTGCAATCGTCATGGCCTATGGAATCTGCAAGGTAGAAGAAAATTGCGAAAATTGCAAAAGTTAAGATTAGTTTTTCGTTTCTGCTGCAAAGTTCAAGCGCAAAGTGTGCAACACTGCGTACTGTTTGGATTAGATTACACTTTTTGATTAAGATAGAGCCAACCTGAGTAGCTAGTTGGAAACATGATATATAGCTAACATTCAAGCGGTCTGGCAACGCTCTAGTGCACATTTTGATTAACAAGTGCCGCTGTAAATTTTTATTTGAAATATTGTTAGTTTGTTTTCCCTTTTTGAAGGTAACAAAAAACAACTCTGCCTAAAAGTTTAGACATCTGGCAACGCTTTTGGAATTTAGGTTAAATATTGACTTTGATGCTTTGCATTTACAGCTGTTTTAACTATTAGCAACCTTTCAAACTAGGTTTTAAATGCTTCAAAAGGCAACACTGGCTGAGAATCTGGCAAACGCTGAGTGTTAGCCTCGGCTTTAGATTTCAATTTTGTACTAGAATTCGAATTTGAAGCTGTAGAAGAAGAAATTAAACTGTCTGGCAACGCTTTGTGCTAGGCTTAGCTTTAGATTTGAATTTGAATTAAAGCTATTTCAGACAAAACACATAAAAGTCAAAGACTAGCTGCTATTTCAACTGTCTGGCCACGCTTAATGTAAATTGAAGCCACTTTCAAAAAAAAGCATCCACTTAAAAAAGTCAAGAATGAATTTTAAACGGTCTGGCAGCGTTTTAATGAAATTTAATTTTCATTTTTGCCACAATCGTAGCTCTTTGACGCTAGCTTAAAGTATTTTCAGCCTTTTGACCTAAGTTTGAAGTCATCTTAAACTGTCTGGCAACGCTTTTGTTGCTTGTTGAAACTTTGCCAGCTTATTGGGGACTAGTTGTAGCTGGTGCTTGCGCGTGCATGGCCTGTCTAATTTGTTGGACCCCAAAGCCCAAAACTTGCGGCGCTTGGTTAGTTAAAGCATGTCGCGCGTGGGGCTTTAAAGGAGAACTGCGGCCACAGAATCCAAAAGCCATTATAAAAGTTGACTGCCCCCCACTGCCCACATGGCAGTAAAAAAATAACTGCTGTTGGAAATGGAAATAGAAATGTCGAAAGAATAAAAAAAAAAAGGAGAACGACAAAATGCAGTTAGCAAACGCAAAGTCCTTTGTGGCAGCACATATATCGCAGGAACAATGCAATGGGGCAAGTGGACAAGTGGAAAAGTGGACGCGTGGGCGTGGGGTGGGGAGCACATGGAGCTCGGAATGGGATTGGTCACTGGCAGTGAACTGCACGTGACACTTCATTGGGCATTTGGCAATTTTGCGCTTGGCTCAGTTGTCGATTTGGGTTTAAGTTTCGAGTTTGTTGGCCAAGGTTGAGTTGTGGCGTTGTGTTTAATTACCTCGTCAGATGGCGACTGCCCTCGTGGACTGCCATTTCGGAGGACTTGAACTCGTTCAGCTCCTTGCGTATGGCAGCCTTATCCTTTGGCGTCAGTCTTGTCCATGGCTTGTCCGCCCGTCGATCGTAATCGTGTGCCTGCGTTACCTCAATGTAATCGTTGAAGCGTATGATCTTCTTCTCCTTGAGCTCCTCGACGGTGGGCCGAAAGCTGAGTTTGCGCAGTAAATACGATTTCTTCTCCTCCTTCTGCTTCTTCTCCTCGGCGGGTGATTGAGCTGATGATGTTATATGGTTTTATGTGAGGAATAGATCAAATAATTGCTGAAGTGCACTCACTTTTTAGAATGTTGCGCTCCACCAGCTCCTCGGCGGTGGGTCGCATTGATAGCCGTCGGATTAGGCGCGCCCCAATTGCCTCCTTGGACTCCTTGATCTCATTGTCGTTGACCTGATGCAATATATTGCGATTGATCAGATCCTGTTTGTCTGGTCGCAGCTGCAGCTTCAACGACAGCGACTCCTTGCGCGCCAGCTTGGCCAGCCGTGTATTATCATTGTCATCGTCCCGATAGACAATGTGTCCATCGCTCTCATCGCTATCGCTGCTGCTCTCCCTTATCACAAACGGTCGCGTATTCTCCTTGTTCTCCACGGTGCACGGCAGTTGGATATTGAACATTTGCTGCCTGCTGTTGGCAATTGGTTAAACAGATTAGTTAATTACCATACTGCGGCAAGCATTTTTATATATATACGTAATATTTAATTACTATCATTAGCCTGATCACATTTAACGCACAGTCACACATACACTCACAATTATACATCAAAAGGACATGCAGCAAAGCCTAAAAACACTTTCATCTCTGCAATCTCGCTAGCGCAATCTCACAGATTTACACACAAACACTTACAGTATATTTAATTTATTCATCTTCCTGCATAACTCTCAGGCACATGTCCTTTAAGTTTTTTGTTGCTAGCCAAACGCTTTTGCCTGCTCTCGGATTTATCTTTTCCCTTTTACTTTTTTTTTGTTGCGCCAATTTGTTGTTGTTTTTTGTGCTTTTCTTTTTAACGACACGTGTGCGCACATCTGGCAACTCATTCGCATACATTTACCACAGTCATGCAAGTGTGTGTTTGTGTGTGTGTGTATATCCGTGTGTGTGTGCTTGGCTTTGTACTTAAAGCTGTCGCCTGGCCGAGAAGCCCGCCCGGTATGCTATATCCTGTCAGGCGCATCCGCAACACTTTCGCATTAAGCGTATATCTTGTGTGAGTGTGTGTTAGGGTGTGCGGGTGTGTATGTGTGTAACAGTATCGTGTCTATGCTTGCCACATTACCATGCAAAACGAGTTGAAGCGAATTATGCAACACAAGTGCCGCTTTTTCAATACCCTTTTGCAAGTCATCTTCAATCAGAAGAAGTGCCTGCAAAATGCACAGACAGGCAGATTTAAGGAGTCTAATTGAAAGCCACATTTAGGGAGGCCTATATAAGTATTGAAGTTAGCTTTTCTATTCTGAGTATAGTAAGCCGAACTACAGATAGAATGTTGCAGTAGGGGTAATCGACAACTTAATACTATATCACGGTCAGTTTTCATTAACTGTCGCGCCCTTAACTTTCATTATATTTAAAGGAGCTAATCAGTAGTTCAGTAGTATCCAATTGCCTTGCTAACTCTAGCACTAAGTCCGTAGAAAATATAGATATTTCCCAATTTACAGCCAGAAGGCTTTATCACACAATCTTAACACTTTATATGACTATACCAGATTTCAGGTCTCTTACATCAACTACGGACAAATGGTTAGATGGACAGCTGGACGGAAGGACATTGAACCAAATGAATGTACTCCTATTATATTGCGAGCTAGTATTACGGGAGAGGTGCTGAGAGAATGTGATATATGTTGGCATATTTCAGGTTAAGGTTGAGGTAGCCAAGTAAAATCTTAAGTTACTAAGCAAAACGAAGGCATAAAGCAAACAGGTAGATATTCAAATAGGTTGCTTTCTTTCATTTCGTTCTGGCTCTTTCTAAATATTTTTATATATAGATATTCCTCTTAAGATGTATCCAAACCCTTTATAAGTATTAAATGTGATTATTTTTCAATATAGAAAAGATAAGTTTAAATCATTTATAGGTAATGAAGTCTACTATAAGACAAGCTTACATAATTATAAAATTAATGTAACAGCATGTTTGCATTCTTTTCATTTTAAACTTCTCGCTTCGCTTCTTGCGCCTGCACTGACACTTCCCAAAAACTGCTCTTAGCTACGCTTCTCTCTTTACACTCCTATTATTATGCAGATTACATTATCCTTGCTAGAAGATTGGGTTGCTACAGAATATGTTATTATGTCACAGATGCGTTTACTAAAGTAATTCAAAGACATTCTCATCCCTCTAAGTAGTTAGTCTAAGGTTCTAAGTATATATATTTATTTCTTGACTAACGGGTCGCTATTGGCAATAGAGTACCAAATTTTATTCGCAATGCTCTACATGGTTTATCACCATGGTAAAGGATTGTCCGTTGTTCGGTTTCTCGCACAATTTATGATAAATATGTTAAGAATTTTTGCATTTACGTACAGTTGCTTCGCTTTTACGCTTTGTTGCAACTGTTTTGCATATTCTTTTCAATTTTTTTCTTTTTACTTCGTTTCAAGGCTCTTTTGAGCCAATTGGGGCGTGGCTAAAGGACTCGCATGTGCGGCTGCCACCAATCGAGTTTCGATTATGCCGCATCGTTGGCTACAGAAATCATCTCAACTTGTAGCACTTGTCATCTGTCAAAGTTTTTTTTATATTTATCCTCAACCAACAATGAAAGCCACTTCTGTAGCCCAATTTATTGTTGTTTAATTTTTTTGTTGGGTTTTATTTTTATATATGTTGCTTTGACATGCAGTGACAAAGAAATTAAATTAAGGCATGCTGTGTAATATCATGTGCTTCATATGGAAGTCGAAAGCCCGTGTAGTATGCAATGAAAACTTGTTTCGCAGTGGTAACATGCAGCGGCGTTAAAGAAAATATAATCAACTAAAGTAAAAGAAAACTTTTATCATAAAAACAATACGCACACACACACACACACATATTTATATGTACGACATTGAGGGTTTGGGAGTTCAGCGGATAGGAGGCACATGAGAAAATTAAACTTAATGTCAAACAACCAAAAGTTAGTAATTTAATACTAAAGAAATCAGAAAAAAAAATGTGTGCCCATGTTTGTTGTTGTTGAGTATGTGAATGTTTCTGCTTCTTCTCGTTTAAGTGTTGTCAAGTTTTTGCTTTAGGGGGCAGTGTTTAAAATTTAATCAAAACACATAACCGAAATATGATTGTTAAGGTGCGTGGGGATAGCATGTTGGGGAGGCGGGGTATGGGGATTTGGTAGAGGTTTAAAACACTTCAAGGACTATGCAGGACAATACAATTTCCGTTTGAAAAAACTTGTAAAATTAATTGAGAGAAAAAAAATAAAAGAATTTCTGTTTGTAATTTTATAAAAATTCTTGTCCTGCATAAAACCTGGAGTTGCATTTTTTTTGGGGGTACTGGAAAATAAAGTTCTAGCGGGTTGACACAACAGAGAGAGAGAGAGAGAGGGAGAGAGAGAGCGAAAGAGAGAGGAATAGAGTGAGTGAGAGAGCGCGAAGTTGAGTAGTCTAAAAAGCGTTTTGGCATACGTTTCACATAACAAATAAATTAGCTAAAAAAATGTTTACCATATTCTAATCCGTGGTCGTAGTATAGGCCTGATTTCGGTTCAATAACGTATACGGGTTGTATTTTTGGTTGATTGATTGATATATATATTGTGGAGATTGTATATAGTAGAGATTGAGTTGTAGTAGTAGTAGTTGGGTAAGGAGCAGAAGAACGTGTGGAGCACGCGCACACAAAGAAAACAAACAAGAACAAAACAACAAATTGATAGAAAAGAAAAATATTTTTGTGTTTTTTTTTTTAAGATAAAGTTGCAGAACAATAAATTTAAGATATTATTTATACAAAAATTAATTATTCAGGGACAGGTTTTGGTTAGTTTTGTTGTGGCAGCAGAATGAAACAAGTGGAGGGAAGAATCGCGCGTAACATGATAAGTACAGAGAGAGAGAGAGAGAGAGAGGGAGAGATAGAGAGAGAAAGAGAGAAGAAAGATAAGTAAAACAAATTCAAACTACACAAAACAAAAAAAGAAGAAAAAAATCAAATGGAACGCAAGAACTATAGACACTAGAGCTACACAGTTGCCCGGCTACTTACTTGAGCGAATAGTTGTTGCCCGCCGCATCCTGACGCACCACGAGTGGACGCTGATTGGCCGACTGTTGGGCCGCTGCAGCGGCTGCGGCCGCCATGGAGCCAATGCCGCCATTGCTATTGGAAATGGCAGCAGCTGTTGCGGCGCTGTGATGCTCCTGTGTGGGCGTGACTGGCGTGGAGGCGGAATTAGCATTGCCGGAGATGCCGACCTTCTTCTTTAGCGCCGACTTGAGAGGAACTGCATTTGGTTTTGGCTCTTTGGCTGGAATTTCCTCGACGCGCTGCGTATCCATGACGCGCACATGGTTGCCGCCATACGGCGCGTACTCATCATCCGAGTCGAGCTCGTCCTGGTCGGGATCGTGATCTGTGTGTGAAGGCAAAACGGTTGCAAATAAACAGGAGAGTTAGTAAAATAGTTGGGCAACTTGGTCACACTTTTGCTTTGATTTTTTAGTTTTGTGGGAGCGGGGCGGGGGGGCACTAGCATAATTTATGAAGTGCGCAGTTGTAATGAGCTGAAGCTAGCTGATGTTTCGATTGGTTAACTTTACCATCATAGTCGTAGTCCTGCTGGTAGTCCTGATCGTTCATAGCGCCTGGCCCGTGCGGTCGTCCAGCGATGAGCGTCGGGCTCGGCGTGGAGAACATCGGCGGCGGTGGGATGGGTCCAATTTCAGATACCGGTATCGGCGGCTCTGGCAGCTCGCTGAGCATCACGCCCGGCGGCAGCTTGCCGCCAGCATATGGCGGTGGTGTGCTGCCCGGCGGTCCACCCACCATTTTGCCATCGTCGCCGCCATCTACAAAAACGATTACAATCAAGAATCGGGGCAAAATAAGGAGCGAGAGAGACAGAGAGGCAAAACGATAGAGTGAATGAGTGTGAATTTTTTTTTTTTGTTCTTAATTTTTTTTTCGCTAGCCAATGACGTGAATGTATGCGTGTGTGAGAGTGTGCGAGTGTGTGGTGTGAGATGTGTGTGGTGTGTGTTGTGAGAGAAGTGTGGGGGATTCAAACCATCCGATGGAAGCCTGTCTATCAAAACTGTTAACGATAGTTGAATTTAATTGAAGGCAATCTTAAATAGGCCGATAACTATCGCAGCGAGTGATCGATTCTCGATAAAGAGGTTGCCTTATGAACAAAAGTTATCGATCGTTTAATAACCTTAAAAATGACTATAGATATCGATTGCCGATAACCCTGTTAATTGAAATGGTTAACATTAGTCAAATAGTAATTGGGACAATAGTAAATCGACTGATAGCCTTCCCATCAAATGAGTCCTTAACTATCGATAAAAGGGTTGCACCATAAGCAAAAGGTATCGAAAGTCAAAGTTTAGTTTAGTTTCAGTTAAGCTAATTGATTGATATTGTTTGCTTAAAAAGTTTCGGTGAGAGCCAAAATCAGTAGCAACAAAAACCGATTAGAATCGCTTGTCGATAAGTCTGTTTATTGAAACGATATTTAAATACGATTGAGGATAGACATAAATTTACCGATAAGTATCGCTGCAGGTCAGTGCTCAATAAAGTCTATAAATATAGGTGAGCTTCCCCAAAGCTAAAATCGATTGCAGTATGAATCTATTAATACCGATTACCTAATAACTATCGATAAGCAACTGAGACTCGAATTAATGCCTTGTGCAAATATAAATTAGATTTCATTGCCTCTCAAAACTAAGCTATGGGTATTCCTAATAGTAACTTTATTTAAGAAGGATAAGGGCTCCTAGTATTTGATAGAAATTTCTATTATCTGTTGAATTTAGCAAATCCTAGACTTCTGTACTTATTTAATTGCGAACCTCCATATGGGTTGGTTTAAGATCAACTAAAACTATTTGAAACTCCATCGTTAAACATTTGTATGCGAACAGGTTTCCATTTTCTGGTTATGGTCTATTGGTAATACTCTAGCATAAAGTTTGTACTACACAATCGAATTAAGTTTTATGTCCACTTACAGTGTTCGTTGTGGTAGCAAATGTTGACTCCTCGCCGCGACAGCTTGTTGCTGCCGCCCAGAGTATTGGGTCGCTCCACTTTGTTATTGGAATCGGTCTGGTTGTATTGCTGCTGCTGGTGCATGCCACCACCGCCTCCGCCGCCGCCACCGCCAGGTGGTGGCAGCATGGAGCCCTGGCATGATGGCTGCTCAATATTCGGTGTTGATAATGTGCCATTGCCACCGTGTTGTTGTGCATCAGTCTTGTCTTTTCTTGGTTCTGCAAATAGACCATCAAATGGAAAGAGAAAAGAAAAAATGTAAGAGAAATGAGTTAAGTCCACACACAGATAGTAAATGCTGTAACAAGTGCAGCCAACTAATTTACAAGCATGCGCCAAACTAGCCAGACAGAGAAACAGCAAGGGGCAGCATGTGGGGCCCACTGCAAACACTTGATGGGCTTTTACATTAATTGTCATGCTGGCTGGCGGTTGGCTTGGTTTGCTCGGTTTGCTCGGTTTCTCTCGGACCACACAACCACCATCAGCAGCAGCAGCAGCAGCGAAAGCAGCAGCAGCTGCCACTACTCTGGCCACTGTAAATTGCCTGCCAGGGCGGCCACTTGAGTGGCCACAAAGCACACACATACTCACACACTCACACACACACACACACAGAAAGACATTTACTCACACAGTTGCTTGTCTTTTGTTATTTTTTGCAGCCATTTTGTATGCCCCTCCCCCCTTGGTGGTCAAGTGTAATATTTTTAATTGTTGTTAAAGGGTTAAGCGTGCGGGTCTCCTCAGAGCTCTGGCCACATTTGGACAGTGTCCTGGCGAGACTTGTTTAAAACTAGAGCCCCGAGCGGACAGCTGAGTGCATGTAAAATGTTTGTACAACGTGTGTAAATGGGGCGACCTCGTTAATAATGAGAAATGGCAAACAATTATGCGCCTGTTAATTTGAGCATGCGGGAAGGCCACAGTCCTGCTCATTATTTGTGGAGGAGCCAATGCTTATCTCTATTTGTGCAGCATTTAAATTGGAAGCGTAAAAAAAAAAGTGGTCGGGTTGGGCTTAGATATTAAATATAAAACGGGCAAAATATGAGTAACGACTGTTGTAGAAGATTAAATACCCTGCCGAAGGTACATTTATATAACTAGCCATCTTCTGTTCGGCCGATCTTACTTATGTTAGCTTTAGCTTAAAGCCAGGGTAGCTTTTAAGCTGAAAGACTTGGTTTGCATACAAGAAATCGAGGAGATCAGATCTACATCTTCAGCAGCCGCTATGCCGGCAAGCTGCTGCGGCATCCGAACGCGTTTACCAGGGTCCTGGCTGACCCAATAACAGAGAAGCGCCTCCAAAAGCTACACCCCTTGCAAGCTAACAATGGATCGTATAATTTAAATCCCTTACAGTATTATTGTATGTCCTCAATCCCCTTTGGTTAGAAATGTTCCATCATAGTAAATACCCCTCAATGTCTACCTCTCTACTCCTCACAGTCTTTCGCTTAGTAGAGATCAGAAGGTACTGTTCGATTGAAACCAATCCATATTAAGTAGGCTAATCTCAGTGAATAGGAATCTATATAAATTATGGGATCCCAGATCTAATTGCAGGGCATAAATATGCAAGATTTAAAAAGATTTTCAATCCACATTGAAAACAGCTAACTTCTATAAATCAAAGGGACCTCTAGACATATCCTGTGCAAGCTTCAAATACATACGAAACCGGAAATTACTTGATAACCTACTTTTTATTGATTGCTTGAGTAAAAATAAATCTAAATACATGAATCTACTGCTGTTGAGCTTCAAAGCACGCAATGGAAGTGGAAAAATGCGTCGGGCAACAGACACGATATCATTTACCACATGCCGAAAAAGCAATTAGGAGGAAATTCCTAACAAGTGCTTAAATACTTCAAGCAGTCATTAAAATCAATCCAACAATTGACAGACAGCCCGACAGAAATCTGCGCACTTGCGTGCACGCAATATTTATGTTCTAAACAGATGAAAATATCTTTCGCCAAACGAAAGCAAATGCTCAATGGCAATTAATTGCCAAAGATTGAGAATTGAAGCACATAAAAACCAGCAAGAAATTTCATTTAGACGAAGAAGAAGAAGCAGACGAACAACAAGTGAATTATGTGAGCATATAAAATGCGGAATAAGATATTTAAAAATTCACATCATGCAAATGCAGCAGGGAATGCAAAAATCTTTAACCGATTGTTGCTAATCACACGTAAATAAATAAAATATCAAAGCGCGTTTAAATAAAGCAAACACAAATTACCAGAGGCTGGGCAGGCGGGGAAGAGGTACCAAGAGGGGATGGGGGGGCAAGGGAGAACAAACTATTTGAAACAGATACAAATTCCGTTGGCCGACAGCCAAATTAAAGGCCTGGGGTGCGAAAAGAAGTGCCCGAATGACTAAATAAAAGAAAGGGTATACGAACGGTTGGCTGGGGGCAGGGGCAATGCCTTGACGTGTTTGCGAAAATATTTTCACGAAAATAATAAAAACATTAAACAAAATACAAGAAAAGAAGAAAGGGAAAAAATAGAAATATATGTGCCATATATTCTATGACAATGCGAGTGATGAAGTAATGAAATATTTCTGAAAGCCAAGAAAACAGTTTCATGCATCAAGTTCATGATGCTGGCAAAGTCTAGGGTATAGTCAGGGCTATAAGCAGAAAGAGAAAGGGTGAGTGAGAGAGGGGGGACAAGGAAAGGAAACGGGCGGCAAAGCAAGCGCTGAGCATACTTTAATGAATTTATGTGCCTGTCAAATTATGGCGACAAATGTCTTTGTATTAACCGTCCAGTTTCTCTCGCTCTCTCTCTCTTTGTCAGTCTCCCTCTCTATCTGTCCCTCTCTCTTTCTCCCTGGCAAATTTATGGCCTGGCTGCCTGGCACTGGCAACGTCAGGAAAAGTCCAACAAGCGAGACCCAAGAAAAATATCAACCACATAAACAAATTGCAGACATTGAGTTGGGTTCAGTGTGTAATCAAAATGAATACCCCTAATGCACGTAGACTTTAATGGCATGAAAATTCAATCATGTTTGTTGTATAATTGATGTAGAACATAAATATTTAAGGCAACACAATGTTTTGGGCGATTCAATTATCCAAAGCTTTTAACTCAGTTTTGTAATCGAATAAATCTTTTATCATTTTTGAAGAGTTTCTTGAATATTTACTGGGTAAAGTTCCAGCTTTAGTTCAGTATATTCGAGTTGTTTTATATCTTCTGCAATTTATTCATCTCTTTAATTTGTGTTTATTAATTTAATATTATTATTATTAAATTTTATGTAAGTCTAAGCTTTCATTTGTATTTTTAGACCCTTTCACATTCCATTAAATTTGAATTTATTTTTGATCAGGCTGATCCTACATAGCTTTGCTTATTTCTGATTTTCATTTCATTTCAGTTGGAAACAAAAAAGAAAACAAATATTTCATTATGCTTAAATCTTTTAAGATCATCTTCAGCACAAAGATCTACTTGCTTTAAGCTTGTTTAACCTTCAGTTAGCCAGTTTCTCCTTAATAGTTAGTGTATTCCATGTATTCGGCATACTATAATGTAATTGTGCCAACTTATTCCAATTGCTTTTATCTTACATCTGCGTGCTATCGCGCGCACACACACACACAGATTGGCACAATCTGCGCTCTCTCTAATGACAATATTAATTAAGCAGAAAGTTTAGTGTCTAATTAGCTGGGGCAACATCTGGCTAAGCATAATGGCGCTCCCATTTGGCCTTTAATCAATTATCTGCAGCAAAGTCAAGGCGCAGGCACAGGTCCAGGTACAGGTACAGGTTCATAACAACTGACATGCCAATAAGTAGGCAATATTTATGGGAGCGACAGCTTGTGTGTGTGTGTGTGTGACGTGACGTCATTGGGCATTCGCAATTCCATCGAGTCAGATGCACAGATTTATTTATAATTCAAAATGATGAGGAGAAAAAAATACGCAACAGCATTCGGTTAGCAAGCCGCAAATTAATTGTGCGGCTGTGCATGTATGCCCAGCCCACACACACACACACACACGCACACACTCACGCACAGGATACAGGCAAACAAGGCTAACAAGAATGGCCTAACAAGCGACTGGCATTTGGTTTTGGTATACCCTCGCCGCAGCAATTTCAAAAGGTCTCATCAGCCCATACAGAAGTTAGTGGCAAACAATTGAAACCATTAGGGATAACATTTAATGCACTGCGTGGTGCCTGGTCCCTTGAGTTGGCCAAGGGAGCAAGTCATTAGGGCCAAGAAAAAATAAGGTAAATGTTACAGGTGCGAACGGCAGGCGCCTGGGCTACTGCTCTGCACTAAATTATAAGCTGAGAGCCATAGCCATGTGCTATTTATAAGTCGATATTTTATACAAAAGAGCTATAATTAATAATATTTAAGTGTTTTTCGTCTGCAGCTGCTGCGAACTTAGCTTGGAATAGTTCAGAAAACTTGAAGAGCTTGGGATTATATTTAATTTTATTATTGCTTGAACATGGGGAAAGGGTTTTACATAATGCCCGGCAACTAAGGCAATATTATTCTGATTATTGTGAGCCTAAGCCGAAAATTTAATCAAACCTTCTACCTACCACAGCTAAACAAATATAGTTTTATAAATGCCGTGTCGTAAATATTTAAACAGGCAATTTTCTTTCAATTTAAAGGGTATCCCAAAGTAGTACATCATTCGATGTTCCCACACTTGATATGTATGTGCTTTTGTTGTTTTAGTGTTTTGCTTTTGTTTTCGACGCTTGTTAGCAGCACCGGATTTTTGGCTCTGACAGAGTGTGGATATTTGATAAATAAACAATGTAAGGCAGGGGAGTGGAGGGGAGGGGGGTGCGCTGTGCATTTGAGGCATTTGGGCCAGGACAAACCGCAGCACAAATATTCGTGTATACACATAACAGGACTTTTCAGAGCCTAATTTTCATTTGGCATGTGTGCAAAAGAGCAACTCTCGCACAGAGAATGGCCCCACTCGAGGGAATACAACACGGAACTGGAGCAGGAGCAGCAGCAGCAGCAGCAGGAGGAGCATCAGGCCAAATATGTTGCGAGTGTTCTGGACATTAACTGACAGCTGTTGACGTCACTCAAAAACGTGCGGGCGGCCTCGCTGGAGCTGGAGCTGTAGCTGTAGCTGAAGCTGCAGCCGTAGCTGTAGCTGAAGCTGCAGCCGTAGGAGCTGTCATT